CAGCCATTAAGAGAGAGAGAGAGAGAGAGAGAGAGAGAGAGAGAGAGAGAGAGAGAGAGAGAGAGAGAGAGAGAGAGAGAGAGAGAGAGAGAGAGAGAGACGCAAAGGGGCGAAGAGAAGGGAGCAGAAAAAAAGCGGGGGGACTAATTTGCAAATGAGATAAACGCAGTGGAGGAATTTCAAGCGCGCGCGTCAAGTTTTATTTTGTAGAGAAATGTGCGCGCGCGCCGAGAGAAAGGAAAAATGAGACGGGGCGAAAAAAAAAAGGGAAGAAAGGAGGAAAGGGAGAAAAGAAAAAAAGCAAAGCGCGTAGGTCCGGGTTTTGGTCCTCACAGGCTTCGCAGGCTGCAGGCTGGATGGAGGTCCCCGGAGCCACTTGAGACACTTGCCTTGAGTTAGCGTCTACTTCCGCACGCTAATTACAGACGGCCAAAGCGGGAGGGGGGGGGGACTTTGAAGGCTGGCCGCGACTCCTCACGACGACGCACAGTGGGCCAGAAGACCGGTGGAGGCGGTCAAAATCCCGGACGCGTTTTGAGCTCCAGAGTCGCTAAACAGGACTCGAACCGAACGTGTGACCCCACCAATGGATTGCTCTCCGAACGAGGAATCCATTGGTGGGGTCACACGTTCGGTTCGAGTCCTGCTCAGCGACTCTAGAGCTCAAAACGCGTCCGGGATTTCGACCGCCTCCACCGGTCTTCTGGCTCACTGGTGCGACGTCTTATGCAGCCGCCACGCCGCTTATCGACGGCGGCGTGCTCAAGACGGCCGCCGTCCAGGATGGCGACGATGACGGCGGCGGCGGTGGGGTGCCCGAGACAGCGGCTCAGGTTTCGGGTGCCGCACGCCGCCTCGCCTCGGCGCGAGGCTACCTTCCCTCGACGCGAGGCTACCTTCCCTCGACGCGAGGCTACCTTCCCTCGACGCGAGGCTACCTTCCCTCGACGCGAGGCTACCTTCCCTCGACGCGAGGCTACCTTCCCTCGCCGCGAGGCTACCTTCCCTCGACGCCGTGCGCCGCGCTGCCGCGCTGCGGTCCGTTTGCCGGTCCGTTTAGCGTCTGCCGCGCCGTGGCGAGCCGCTCCCTCAATAAGGAAATTGGCGGCGGCGGCTTCCGCAAGTTGCTTTCCAGTCGTCGAGCGAGGGGGGAGGGGGGGTGCAGCCTGCAAGGCGGAGGCGCGGAGGGGCGGGAAGAGATTGTGTGAGGAAAGGCAGTTAGAGGGAGAGAGGGGGAAGGGCGCCAATTACAGCCGGCTTGTCCCTGGTTCTAATTAATGGTAGTTAGTGCAGCCGGTTCAGCCCCAGGTAATTAGGTCGTTTGAGCTCTTGTGCCCATCTCTAAATTATTCTCTCTGATCGGTGCGGACCCAGCCACCCGGCGGCACCCAGTCGCACCCAGTGCCACGCAGCCGGTCGCATGCGACGGCGAAGACTGATTCCTAAGGGTCCGTCTCTCTCGCATTCGAACGGGACGCCCCACGAGTGCGAGAGACACACTGGGAATGACTGCAGAGTGGCGGTGCACGGCGGGGAGGTGGGGGGTTTGGACCTCGCTTGGAGGTTGCGTTCCTTGCATGCGACGCGAAGGCCAATGGCTTGCCCTTCGCACGAGGAATCCAACGGCACCCTCACGAGTTCGAGTCGATGGCAGAGGAGCGGTCACGGTGCTCTCTCTCTCTCTCTCTCTCTCTCTCTCTCTCTCTCTCTCTCTCTCTCTCTCTCTCTCTCTCGCCGTCGCGTCGTGTCACTCCGATTTCGCGGTCGGCCGCCCGTGTAACCCGAGTGGACATAGTTAGGCGTCTAACGAGCGCACTGCAGGTTCATCCCAGCGTCAAGGCCGTCGTCGAGGACGTCGTCGAGGACGTCGTCGAGGACGTCGTCGAGGACGTCGTCGAGGACGTCGTCGAGGACGTCGTCGAGGACGTCGTCGAGGACGTCGTCGAGGACGTCGTCGAGGACGTCGTCGAGGACTTCGTCGGGGACGGCGTCCAGGTCGTCGTCGAAGACGTCGAGGACGTCGTCAAGGCCGTCGAGGACGCCGTCGAGTCGTCAAGGCCGGAGAGGACGTCGCCGAGGAGAACGTCGAGAACGTCGTCGAGGATGTGGTCGAGGACGGCGTCGGGGACGGCGTCCATGTCGTCGTCAATGACGTCGAGGGCGACGCTGAGGCCTTGGAGGACTACGTCGAGGCCGCGGAAGACGACGACGACGTCGAGGTCCTCCGCAGCGCCGCACCCTCCTCGTGCTCGGAGGCTCTGGGCGGCGCCCGCGAGGTCGTCGCGTGTGTTGCGCTGCTGCTGCTGCCCCAGGGCCCCGGGGGACGGAACCCCTCGGCACGCCACGGCACGCCACGGCACGCAAAGGCACGCCGAGCCCAGCCGCGCGCGCGCACGTCCCAAAGCACAGGAAATGGAAACATCTCAAACCAAGCAGAAGGCGGCGAGGGAGACGACGGCGGCCTTGGAGGGGACGGCGAGGCCGGGCTGCCCCTTGGCGTGGCGTCGCGTCGCGTCGCGTCGCGTCCTCCTCAAGCAATAATGGCCTCATCACGCACTCCAGCGCCAAGCAGACTGATTCCGAGAGTCGTTTTCGTCGCTCTGTCTCTCTCGCGCTCATGGCGCGTCCCCTGTAGGTGCGAGAGAGACAGAGCGACGAAAACGACTCTCGGAGGCAGTCTGCAGGCCAGGCAGGCCGAGACACGGAGGAGAGGAACGCCCCACGAGGCGGCGTCGCAGCGTCTCCTTTATTCCTTTATTCCGACTTTTGGCCTTTAAGACGGCCGACGACTGACGGGCTGACAGGCTGGACACTCGACGACGAGGAGGGAAAGGTGGCGGTGATGATGGCGTGGCACACTGGAAGAGAGGGAGGGAGGGGGAGAGAGAGAGAGAGAGAGAGAGAGAGAGAGAGAGAGAGAGAGAGAGAGGAGAGAGAGAACCGGAAAAAGAATATCGGAGTGAAAAAGAAGAAGGCGCCGGTGATTATCCGGCGCAGCCCTTGCACTGCATATTGGCCTTCTTCGCGCAAACTCTCATTTGACTGTTTAATTTTTTTCCGTTCGCTTTTCCCCTGACTTTTCTATTTTCACTGTCGAATACATCAACACGGCGGGTAAAGACGGGCCTGAATAGGCATGAGGGTGAACACACGGTCGGCATAACCGCCAACAACATTGCCGCCCGTTTGAGCAGCCAGCAGCCCAGCAGACTGATTCCGAGAGTTGTTTTCGTCGCTCTGTCCCTCTCGCACCTGTACATGGCGCCCACGAGTGCGAGAGAGGCAGAGCGACGAAAACGACTCTAGTCTGCGGCAGCCCCGCGATGGCGCCTCGGCTACCACCGCCAGGACTGCCAGGACGCACCGCGCGGCATGAATCTTTCATTAATCCGAGCCATGCCGAAGAGTCGGTGTCGTCGCTCTGTTTCTCTCGCACCCGCTCGGGCCACCCCTGCAGTGCGAGAGAGACAGAGCGACGCTCCGGCAGCAGCTTGCCGGCCGCGGTCGACGTCGTCGTGTGTTCGGGGTTCGGCCCGTCACGGCCTCGCCTCCTCGATCGCCCGTTTGGCGGCTCACGCTACGCCACGCTACGCATGGCCGCGCCCTGTTTCCCTCCCTCTCTCTCTCCTCTCTCTCTCTCTCTCTCTCTCTCTCTCTCTCTCTCTCTCTCTCTCGTCTCCCACGGGACGGCCCGCGAGTGCGACAGAGACAGGTATCCAAGGACCGACACCCTTCCCCCGCTTCGGTTACGTAATTCATGAACACCGCCGGGGGAATCTGGCCGTCTTTGTCCGCGCCGCCATGGCGCGCCAGCGCTCTGCAACTTAGCGACTCGTCAGGAAGAAGCGAATTTAAATTGAGGGCGGAAGCTCACATTGGGACGGCGGCACGACGAAGATTTAACAAAATTTTTTTTTTGCCCCGCCGCGGGGGGATTTGGCGAGCGCAAGTTGGCCCTGCCGCCGTGATTTGCCATTTGTGGCGGGTAAATGTAGGGTTGGCAACCCTGTGCGGCAGGCAGCCCGGGCGGCAACCCTAGCCTGCCCCGTCGACCCGTCGGCCCCCGGGCCGCGCGCGGCGAGCGTTGTGCCAGAACCTAAACAAAGGGATGTGTTTCTTTATGATTTGGGCCGATAGTGGACGTGGCCCGGGTCAGGGTCCCCGACGGCACCCCGAACAAGGTGCCCCCGAAGGCCCCCGAAGGTTCCCCGAAGGGCGCGCCGCCGCCACACTCCCCCTGACTTTCTATTAAAATGGATACAGAATATAAAAGTAAAACAAGGCGAGAAATACGCCCAAGTCAATAAAAATGCGCCGTATTCAAGATGGGCGGGGGAAAGAGAGAGGGGAGAGGGGGGAACAGAATTAACAAGCTTCACAGCAGGCGGTCGTTAAACTCCGACACTGCTCTTGTGAGAGATAGGCACACTCAAACAACGACATGCAAGCAAACCGTTAAAAGTTAAAACTTGACGGCCCTCCAAAAAACAAAAGGGAGGAGGAGGGAAAGATAAAACTGTGGACTTTCTGCAAACGGTCGGCACATCCTATAACGAAGTTTCGGCGTCGCTGCCCCTCGTGACATTTGGAGAAAATGAAATTTGACCACAGACAAGCATGACGATGTTTTTCAAATGAACCGTTTCTGCAGCATCTTTTTAAACAAACCGCTCCTATTTGTTACACACGCTTTAAATGTCTTACGGTCAATGGCTGCACCAACGTGAAATATTTCTCCACGATACAAACGAGATTCGCCAAAATGCCATTAAGGTATAGTAAAATTCTCAGGTATGGTATCAAGTCAGCTGTACCACCACACTACAGAGAATGCTTTACTTTACACGGTAGAAACGGAACCGGGTTTTCCCAGGAACTCCCTGGAAACCACCAATGTGTCCCCCTTCCTGGGAAAACCAGGTATCGTTTTTACCGTGTACAAACCACCAGGCTTGCTCAAAGACTGCCAAAACCTTAAGAACAATAATGTTCCAACTCACTGGTGCAGACGCCCTCCTCGCGGGCCTCCCGGATGGGCCTGCCCTTGACGACGCACTGCAGGCCCTCGGCGCAGGCGCCGTGGAAGCCGTGGGGGCCGCCGCAGGGCTCGTCCTCGACGCGCGCGCACAGGCGGCAGCAGCGGCACGCGTCCCAGACCGCGCCGCCGGGGCACTGCTCCTCGTCCAGCGGCTCGCACTCGCCGGGCGAGCACACGCAGTGCAGCCGGCCCAGCGTCGAGGCCGGCGGCGGCGACATGACGGGGGTCACCGTGGCGCTCGCCACAACGACCTCGGCCGCCTCCAGCGGCGCCCCCGCCGCCCCCGCGCCCGGCTGGCCCGCCCCCAGCGCCAAGAGCGCCGCCAGCACCGGCAGCAGCACCATGGCCCGCAGCACGCACTACTGGAGGGGCATCTGGAACAGAACACACGCGCCGTCACACAGTGGATTTGACAGAAGACCTCGAGACCCGTTTTGAGATCCAGAGTCGCTAAACAGGACTCAAACCGAACGTGTGACCCCGCCAATGGATTCCTCGTTCAGAGAGCAATCCATTGGTGGGTTCACACGATCGGTTCGAGTCACATTTAGCGACTCTGGAGCCCAAAACGCGTCTCGAGGTTTGGCCGCCTGCGCCGGTCCTCTATCCCACGCTTCAGAGGCACACCGAGGTCGCTGTCTCTCTCGCACCGCTGCGGCACCATCCTCGAGTGCGAGAGAGACAGCGAGGAAGGCGCGCGGAGGAATCGCTCGACACGCCGAAGCCACACACGTCCAAACGTCAGCGGCGGGCGATGGGTAGCGTGTCAGCGCCGGCGACACTCTTACACTTGCAGCACTCTCGGTCGACCCTCCTAGCCTGGCCCTAGCCCGAAGTGGCTCTTCGCTTTGGGGCCGCCACCCAACTTAGAAGGGTTGAAAAATATTTTTGGATGGCGGCTTGCTGCCTGGGGTCACGTGGGGTCGCGGGTTTCGTCAGGTCAAGTGCATTTCTTCCGACACGCTTCAGGCTGATTCCGAGCAGTGGCTTGGTCGCTCTGTCCCTCTCGCGCCCTTGCGGAGCACCCCATGAGTGCGAGAGAGACAGAGCGGCGACAAAACACTATCGCTCCTTCGGCTGAGAGCGTGCCGCCGTGGCTGCGGGCAGGCAGATTGGGCACGTAGTGGCACGTAGCCCCCACCCCCTGGTATCCGCGCCATCCGCGCCAGCAGAGTCCTTTTCGTCGCTCTGTCTCTCTCGCACCCATGGTGCGTCCTGTAAGGCGCAGGAGAGACAGAGCGACGAAAACGACTCTCAGTCTGCAGGCGCGAAAGGCAGGCCTCTGATTCATGGGGCATTAGAGGAGGCCGAGCAGGCCGAGCAGCAGACCCATTCCGAGAGTCGTTCTCGTCGCTCCGTCTCTCTCGCACCCACACGGGACGCCCCGTGAGTGCGAGAGAGACCAAGCGGCGAGAATCAGTCGGCAGTCCAACAATAAATACTCGGGCGGCGCGGCGACGCGGCGTGATTAGGGATGCAGGGCCCGGGAAAGCAGGGCCGCGACCGAAGAACATCGCTTCGTCGCTCTGTCTCTCTCGCGCCGCCAGGGCACGGCCCGTGAGTGCGACGGAGAGCGGCGATACGACGCGAAGCGGCCCGCCGGCCTCCTCAAAGTGGTGTAATCGGGCCTACTTGCGGCCGGCCGAGGCCGAGGCACTGCCCTGGCGGCCGATTAGTTACACTCAGCTCCGAAAAGAGGAGAAGAAAACTCGGGTCGTTGCCGGGAATCGATCCCGGGACCGGGGCAGGAAAAACTGAAGGGGGGAAACACAGCGCGAGTCGAGTCACTGGGAAACGTCGAATCGACGCCTGCTGAGAAGCTTGCACGGCTCTGCCTCCTGTATTTAAAAAAAGAGGAAATAATAAAAGCCGCACAGATGGGACTCTGCAATCGTTTGTTCAGTCGCGCTCCGTCGATAAACTGCGGGCAGAGTATCGAACCCGAGACCTTGCATTTCGGACACGAGTTGATCGGTTACGAAAACAGGGCTTTGTTTAACTTGCCCGGAGCCGAGCGGACCCCCGAGCACAGCATCGTAAATATGAGGGGAAAAATGAATGGAGGAATTGGATTTGCATCTGCGGGGGTCTGAGCTGAACAGCCCCGACCAAATCGATTTGCCCCCAGGTGGCAGTTCCCCGGGCGCGCCGCGCCGTTGGGAGAATTTGAGAATCGCCCCAGCGGCCCAGCCAGAGTCCTGTTGGCTGTAAACGACGACGTCGAAATCGTGATTTTGGGCTGACTTTTCGGTGCGTGATTTGGTCTGACTTTCGGTGCGTGATTTGGTCTGACTTTCGGTGCGTGATTTGGGCTGACTTTCGGAGCGTGATTTGGGCTGACTTTCGGTGCGTGATTTGGGCTGACTTTCGGTGTGTGATTTGGGCTGACTTTCGGCGACCACCGCGTCCGATCGAGGCCGGTTAATCGTACACCCTCTACGGGGCGGTGTTCTTTGAACCCTTCTTTGCCCATGCATTCGCTAGGATATGCGACTTCAGTAACCGGCCCGGCTTGGTTAGAGAGCAGTGTTGCCGCAAAGTTGGTCGAAATCATGATTTCGGCTTTTGTGTGTGTGTTTGTGTGTGTTTGTGGTGTAGCGGCGCGCATTGTCCCCGTTGTCGTGGTGTTGAGAGCTCCATCACGCGTCGCCGTCGTCGTGGACGGGGCCATTTCCTGCTCGGAATGAGAGCACTCACGCCTTGCGCTCGCAGTGCGCGCACGCTAATGCTAATCCTCAGTCGAATGCTTGTGAGGGTCGAGGGCCTGGTTCGGTCTATGGCGGCGCGCTGGGACCCCGTCCGCCGGGACGCCACCGCACAGTGGGCCAGAAGACCGGTGGAGGCGGCCAAAACTCTACGCATTTTGAGCTCCAGAGTCGCTAAACAGACTCGAACCGAACGTGTGACCTCACCAATGGATTCCTCGTTCGGAGAGCAATCCATTGGTGGGGTCACACGTTCGGTTCGAGGCCTGTTTAGCGACTCTGGAGCTCAAAACGCGTTTAGAGTTTTGGCCGCTTCCACTGGTCTTCTGGCCCACTGTGCGCGACCGCCACCGCCGTCGTCCTGTTGCTAGAGCCAGCCGGCCAGCCGGCCAGTCACACTACTGCGGCGGCCTGCCCTGCACCACCCTCCCCGCCGATCCGTCCTACGCGTCGCGCGCGTCAAGCCAAACTTTCGGCAACTTTTTCTCCGGCTAGCCCTGCTGGTGGTCCTTGCGCTACGCCACACCACGCCGCGCCGCGCCGCGCCACGCCACGCCACGCCACGCCACGCCACCACGCCGCGCCACGCCGCGCCACGCCACCACGCCGGGCTCGGACTTACGCAGTATAAGGACGTCTGCGGGTCGGCCTCCAGGCCTCCAGGACGCCGGGAAAGAGGACGGCGAGTTGGACTGGACGCCGTCATCCATCATGTAGGAGAGCGAGAGGGAGCGGAGCGGAGCGTGCCCCAGGACCCGACCGAGGACCTCACCGAGGACGCCGCCCGACCCGGCGGACCCGACGGACCCGACCCGCCGATCGGCTCGCCAGGCCTGCAGGCTGCTCCCGAACACGCGTCGCTCTGTCTCACTCGCACTCACGGGGCGGCCCGGCCGGTCCCGGCGGGTGCGAGAGAGACAGAGATAGCGCCGTTCGGCCTGCGACGGCGACGCCCAGGCGACGCCCAGGCGACGCCCAGGCGACGCCCTTGAAAGGTTGCGGCTTGGAGCCTTGGAGGGCCTTGGGCTGACCAGCAGGGCTCGCAAAGGGCGCCGCGACTCGGAATTAGGATCCCAGTCTTGTAATGACTTAAAGTAGTTACGGCCAGTTAGGCCGCCCCTTCCCCCGCCCTTTTCCCCCGAGGGCCTTTGACACACTGCCATCGAAGGGCGGCGGCGAAAAAAGACGCCCTCATCAAGCAAGCGCAACTTGGGGGGGGGGGGGGGGAACGGACGTTTCATCTTTGAATTGAGACTTCTTATTGATCTTTTGGCGCCACTTAGAGCGCCAGGCCGGAGTGGACTCGTTCCAATACCACCGATACGGCGGCGGGGCGGGGTAGGGGGGGGGGGGGCGTGCACGACAAACGGCGGCCCAGCACGGAAGGGCGCGGCCCGCAACGCCAAGTGTTTCTCTTTGGCGGCGGTGGTGCGGCGTGACCCCGCGCGCACGCCAGACCCCCAACCCCGATTCATCTTGTTGTTTGTTGTTGTTTTTGTTGTTATTGTTGTTTTTATTATTATTATTGTTGTTGTTTTCGCGACGAGTGCCTTCGGAAGACGCGGCCGGAAGAACCAGAATGCAGGCCATGGTGAATGGTGGTCCCCGGCCCGGCCGCTGCGCCGCGCTGCGGAGCCGTCCGGGACTGGGGGCAGCGCGAGCAGCTTGCAACTTTGGCGGGAAAGTCATCGTTCACGTCACCCGAAAAATGCGGCGCCGGTCCGATAGTCCGGGAAGAGCGATTTGTAGACGGGGCGGAGCGGGGCGGCGCACAGTGGGCCAGAAGGCCGGCGCCGGCAGCCAAAACTCGAGACGCGTTTTGAGCTCAAGCGAGTCACCGAGCGTGTGACCCCCACCAATGGATTCCTCGCTCGGAGTGCAATCCATTGGTGGAGTCGCATGTTTGGTTCGAGTCCTGTTTAGCGACTCTGGAGCTCGAAACGCGTCCGGGGTTTTGACCGCCTGCACCGGTCTTCTGGCCCACTGTGCGCGCGGGGCGGAGCGCCGGAGCGGAGGTGGCGGCGGCGGCCGCGCGGTTTTATTGTAAGTACCGCGCCAAACGCCCCGTGTCCGTGTTTCCTAATTAAAGCTTTACTCTCCCTGCGCGCGTCTTGTCCGAAGGAGGTACGGCGGTGCGGCCACCACTACTCGTCGCCCTTTTATTCCTTATTTGTCTTGGTTTGCAATTTGCGGCGCCTTTCGCTTGCCCTCGCCTTCGCGCCCCGCGTCCGGCTTACCTTGTAATCCGTGCAGCTTGCGGGGGGGGGGGGGAGTCGCACCTGGAACGTACTGCTGCACCTGCCTGCCAGGGAACTGGGCTGCGTATTGCTACGCTCGCACGACGCCACCATAAATTAAACTAAACCGCGGTTTCGTCGTCATTCTTTTCTACAGTGTGGGTGCGAAACGTGAGGCGCGCTTTGGGATGGACGGCGACCGACCGTCCTTCCCACCGGCCTGTGCAGTGCAGGCGACACCAGGCAGCGTGGCCGAGTTCGGTGGTTCGACCCCGG